GGATCGTCAAAATTAATAATTCAAATATGTTATGGTGGAAATAGTTGGAAAATTATTTATAGATATCGTAAATGATTAATTTTGAAATATGGTGAATATAAAATTAAAGAAATGGTTCAATTTTATTTAGATTAATTTTTAATAAAAGTTTAGTTTTAAAATCGTCCAACTCCACCACCACACGAAATTTAGTAGGATAAGGGCGGTTAAACCCACTGAGTCACGACTCGGTGACATTAATCGGTTTTTCGAAAAAAGATGGTAATTGCAGCTTCGACTCCATTTTCACTCTCGTCCGTGGTCTTCACGCGCCGTCGTAGCTACAGACATTATTCAGTACCTCGAGTAACCGCCAGTTTTTCACCGGAGGTTTCTCCTCTTCTCCGAGCAGCTCACCACACCGTAAGGGTTATTAAAACGGGAAAGTTGATGTTACTAATTCCTCGAAATGTGTATTCTTAAGATTTTGAATTATTTATTTATAGATTAATAATCCATTTTCCTTGATCTCTTCTGGGTAATTGCTGAAATTCATAAACTCGAAGAAAGATGAATACTTGAATAAAAGATTCTCTGGTTAAAATCTTATGAATGCGAACGTCTTATAATCCAATTTTAGGGTTTATCTCCTCTGGGTATTGTTTGAATTCTGCTGAAATTTCATAAAACTGAAGAAAAATCGATACTTGAATAATATATAAATATAATTTAAGTCTCTGTTAGTGTTTTTATTTTTCTTTTTCAGGTTGATAGTTATGTAAAGAGTGGGATGATTATTGGTTTAGGATCTGGAGAAGCATCAGATATAGCTATACGTTACTTGGGTCAGCAACTTCGTTCTGGTTCTTTAGCAGATGTTGTTGGTGTACCAATGTGAGTCTTTTAAAAAAAAAAAAAAAATTCTCAATCCCATAAAGAATCAATCTTTTGTATGCTCAATTGTTCAAATCTATTTTCATGTTGATTTTTGTCCATTACCTTTGTTTAGGTCTGTTAGAAGTGCGAGCGAAGCTGCAAAGTCTGGAATCCCTTTAGAAAAATTCCGAGATGGTTTTCAGGTAGAGACCGGTTTGATCCATTAACTTCATCTTGGGGATGATATTTGCAAGCATGATTTTTCTTTTTCTTTTTGGAATCGTTTGCTTTGTAGATTGATTTTGCATTTCATGATGCTGATGCTGTAGAAGAGGATTCACTTATCGCAGTTATTGGGCGCCGAAAACACTCACAAGAAGATGACTATATCCTGCGCCAAAAGGCCAGTGTGGTTTCGTTTAAAATTTGCATTTTTTATCAACTACTCATTGCTTAGCTTTGCACTTACAAAGAGAGAGATTTAACAATGCAGTCTATTCTCAAAGCAGCTGATGAGGCAGTCTTCATGATAAAGGAAGAACAATACAAAGCCGGCCTTGAAGGTTCTATCCCGGTTTTAGTTCAATCCGTGAGCAAAATTTCCACCAAATGAATCCTCTTTTAAGGGTAATATGATTCAAAAAGCAGAAACCAGAAATGATATGTTTGAAAGTTTTTGGTTTGCAGCTTAATTGGTTGGCCATAGCCGAGGAGATAGATGACTTGTATTTAGGCGATGCAGAGGTGCGAATATGATTTTTTTTGCAAATGTTTTCTTATGGTTTCGGTTCTATCGATTGTGTCAAGACCTTTTCTTTTTATTTTGGGTTGTGCATATGTGGAAAAGGTGTGGAGAAGAGCTTCTGTAGGAGATGCAGGGCCTCTTGGAGGAGACTTTCCTATAATCACCAGTGATGGTCACAACATTCTTGATGTAATGTTTACAACTCCAATTCCAAGCCTCGGTAAAAGCATTTTATTTACCATTGCGCATAGTGAAATTTGTGTGTGCGTCACTTAATCGTTGATTATTCAATGCGAAATTCTGCAGCCGAAGTGGTGAAAAGCCTGGATGTGATTGATGGGGTTGTGGACCATGGACTCGTCATCAAAACTCGGTTAGTTTCTCTAAAAGTTTCAGAAACAAGGTTCGGGTTTAGCATGTAGTTGGTCAGTCAGTATCAAGATTCCATTCCTCGGCTTTTGGCATTACAGATGCACCGTGGTGATCGCAGGAGAAACTGAAGTTAGAACTGTTACCTTGCAGACTAGTAAAGTGGAGAGTAGTGATGTATGAACCATAGAGAGACTTTTTTGTTACATAACGTAAAGTGGTGATCCCAATTGGCAGTCAATTTATACATTCAGTTCATAGAGCAATGCCATAACTTCTACAAGTTCACTAATTCTAAAATAAGTTTCTTTTTCCATGAGAAATCACCAATACAACCCAATACAACCCACTAGGCGACATGGATCATCTTTTTTAATTTATTCGTGCTCAAACATGTAAAATTTGTTTAAACAAATCAAGTCATTTTTGGTTGATTTAGAATTAGAAAGTCTTTGCATTCACTCAATGCATGGTAAGTTTAAATTTTTATAGTTTATAAAAGCTTCCAAATTATATCATGGTTTTTCATCTAGCCAATGCAATGAATCTAACTCAGTTTAGGCGTTTGTATACAGTCTAAAACTCTTAACGAATAAAAAAGCCAATGAGAACATATGTCTAAACCTACGGTTATAATATGAAAACAGAAAATATTCATGGATAATATCCAAATGGGTTTGAGAATATACAAAGCAATTTCCAACAATTGGGTTTGAGAAAGATACAAGGAGTAGTTTCATCGAGTGGATCAACAAGTTTCCACATCTGTGATGCTTTAGGTACATCCTTTCGAGAACCATGTACCCAGAGCCGGCCCTGGCCTTTGAAGGGCCCGAAGCATTTTTTTGTTTTGGCCCCTTAACTAAAAGAAAACAAATACAGATTCAAACTTGTGACCTATCAACTACTTGCAGCGCGGTTACTGGTGATTTTGTCAAAATACTTGGCCCCTAAAATTAATACTTGGCCCCTCAAATTAATAAAGACTACGCCGGCCCTCAGCACATGCTTTACCAGCTTCTAGTCAGGGCCGACACTGCATGTACCTTGACACTTGACACTTGAAACATTGCCTTGCTCCCATATGTTGTTGCTTACCTTTTCCTTTTGTTCTCATACTTAATTTTGCTTCCTTACGTTTGGTTCATCAAATAAAAGTGTTATGCAACTCTTTCAAGGTTTACTATGATGGATTTTTCAAAAGTGGGGTTATTTTCAGCTTTGTATATGTGGATCAATTAACTTAGCAAGGCAATGTTATCACACGAGTACAACAAGGAATGCTAATAAACACATGATATTGGATTCAACGTCTTCTACTCTTGGCCTTGGTGACTCGGTTTCTCACAGACTCTTCTTGTTGTGGCTTCCAGATTATGTCATCTAGTTTCCCATAGAACGTCTTGTAGAACTACAGGAAATATCCTTGTAAGGCTACTTTTACAAAGCAGAGACAATAATAAATGAGGTCTGAGTTGAAACTAACCGTGAGGTATTCATCAGCATCTCCTGATGCATTCTGAATGTCTACCATCAAAAAGGTTGGTGCAACTTTAAACACCTTCAGATTCGGAAACATCAGATTCAGTGAGAGACATACATAAACCAAAAGGAAAAGATGGAAAAGTAGCTTAAAGAATAAATGATAGTTTACTTCTAGAATGACAGAGAAACGAGATGTCTTGTTTCCATATAATCCTTCTACTCTCATCTGCAATTTTGAAATAGTGAACGATCTAAGAAAGAACTGACGCATAAACCAATGGAACACATGGACTGATGAGAATGCATTAACAAACTCTAGCGTAACCTAACCTTGTAATTGCGAATGTGTGTCTTAAACCCCATGGATTGTGCCACAACTTCCATGCTTGAGAGTACAACGTTTGCTGGCTTATGTGTGATGAACCGTGTCTGATGCTTCATCGACTCCTATCATCAGCTCAAACATTTAATACACTTGAAAATAACAAATCAATAATTGGTGTCAAGGCCTCACACTAAACAGTTTACCTTGCCACGGTCAAACAGCGTTGCAAGGTTCAGGCCTTGAGACAGAATAATCAAGTCAAAGGCATTGAGAGCCAGTGGACCCATGTCCCGTGTATCCCGTGTACCTTCCTGTTCATCATCTTTATGTTCCTGCAAAGTGATATTCTTATTTAGAACTTCATGCGGCTTAGTGCACACAGGCAAACAGTCTTTTCTTTGATTCATATACCTCTGGATCATCAAAAGCAGCATACACATCATCCAGGTTTACATGTTCATAGTCAACAAGTTGTACAGGGTCGTAATCCTTTTTGAACCAGTCATTGTTTCTGATTTCTGAAATTGTAATTCTCTGCAAATCATTGAAAGAGAGATTGTCAGAACTTGGTCGATGACTTGAGAAAAGGCTCCACTGTAACCCAGTCAAAGAATTGTATATCTATTATTTAGAAATTTCAGGCAAAGCCTCCGTAATAGGTATGTATCAATCTGGTAACAGTTTAAAGAGAAGTATATATCTCACATAAGGAATATGGACTAACAACAAAACTCTGGTCTGCTATTTGCAATTTAAAAAAAAGGTTTAGCCAAATAGTTCTTAATAGAAGGTAAAACATACGGTTTCAGGATTTGGATCCAAAATTCTATGAATCAAGGATTTTGCACCCAAGGGAAAGTATGAGGGACAAGAGAAGTCTGCTGTATCGATCTGCAGCATTAAACACACAAAAAGAAAGGAAAACAATGTCAGAAAAGATAGACAAAATTAGCAAGCACGCAGCAACAACGATCAAGCTCATGCCTTGCTGTATAGAGTCGGGAGATCAAGTTCATCAAATGGAAGATATCCTGCCATAAGAACATAAAGGATGATCCCACAGGACCATACATCAGCCACAGCACCATTATAGCCCTTGTGACTGAGAACCTAAAAAAAAAAAAACAGTTGAGTTTGCATGAAACACCGGTGCTAAACTCAAAACAAGCTGAGAGTTGATTTACCTCAGGAGCAACGTAATTGGGAGTTCCACATGTTGTATTAAGGAGGGTAACTCCCTTGAGATGACACAGAGTAATGAAATCAGTTGATAAGAAAGAAATGATCTTCGAAAACCGAGAGGGCATTGGGTGGTTGCTTACTTGTTCGGGTAAAGCACTGAGCCCAAAATCAGAAATCTTGAGATTTCCTTGGGAATCCAGCAGAAGATTTTCTGGCTTTAGATCTCTATGGTAGACTCCTTTACTATGACAGTAATCAACTCCATCAATAAGCTGTTGAAAGTATTTCCTAGCTTCTGTTTCGCTAAGGCGGCCGTGACGAACCTGCAGCAACATTAATTTCAATCCAGGATTGTCTAGAAGCAAGAAACAATAAAGAATCCATTCATGAGGACTACTTACAATTTTATCAAACAATTCACCACCTGTGATGTACTCGAGGATAATATAGATCTTAGTGCGGCTTGCTAAAACCTGAAGTAGAAAACAAAATCAATTCCGTGACTCGACCACCAGGATTGACATAAGAACATCGAGTCAGGGCTTGCCTCATAGAGACGAACAACGTAAGGATGGCGAACAAGCTTCATTATCGAAATTTCCCTTTTAATCTGCAAAGTGAAGGAATTAGAGAAAGCAAGCACAAGTTTGGTATGGAATTGGTGAGGAATCAAATCAGAACCTGGTCGGCCATCTTGCGCTTGACTATGGTGCTACGATCCATGATTTTCATGGCGACGCTTTCGCCGGTCTCAGTGTTCTGAGCAAACTTGACTTTGGCGAAGGTTCCTTCGCCGATTGTTCTGCCGATTTCATACTTGCCAACTTTTCGAACCACCATCACTTTGCTCAGATCCTTTTCTGCC